CCTTGCAGAGATTTCTGAGCTTCTAGATGTGACTCAAGCAGAATCAGCTGCCAGGAGAAATCTTGAAAATTTCAGTTAATTTTTTGTTCTTATACCTAAATGAGTAACTTTTTCCTACAGTTTAAATATGAATAAAGATGTTAGAATTGCAATGAAAACATAAAAATGACTTCTATTTTTTAATTTCCTTCATTTTACTTTAACAGAAGCCCATTAAAAATAGAATGTCAAAATTAGATTTATTTAATAGCTGCATTAAACCTTCTGTGGAATACAGAACAGTTAGATCCCAATTTTAAGATAAGATCTGAACTGTAGTCCTGCCACAGCTTAACGCCACCATTGCTGTGGGTCAGAAAGAAAAACAGACAAGCTATCTTACGTCACATGAACAAGAGTACAATATTTAAATATTGACCTATTTAGTGAGCTGCTGTATTAGTTGTAAGGAAGTTGATAAATAGAAGGCTTCACACTATGAGTTTTTGCAAACTTTCCACTGCAACTGCAACGCCTTTAGCACAAATTATACCTTTAAACTCCTCATTTTTGTTTAAGGTTAAAGTTTTTTTTTTGTGAGAAAGAAGGTGGCTCTAGAACTGTCAATTTAGCAATAAATATCTGGCAACCAGGAAAGTTGATTTCAAGTTTATAGTCTGCACTAATTGTAAAAGAAAAAAAACAGCATAAAAATGTTGAAGGTATTTGTACCTGTTAAATAGTAAATTATGTTTAATGTCTAGTCTGTTTTCATAGGAACAAAGGTGATCAGTTTTGCTTTCAGTTTTAGCTTTCGATCAGCTAGAAATACCCTAATTCTATGTCACATAAAGAAACATGTAAACATCTGATTTTAACTGAAAATCATCATATTTTCCACACTATAAGTCTAGCATTAAGATCTTATTCCTATAGTTTTGCTGGTCCTGAACTTGTAGTCAGGAGCAACCTATGCAGGGTATTTTTTTATTCTTCATGAGGTGTTTTCAGCAATAAATATTAATTCATTCTGATGGAAATGAACCAAGGATTAAACATTGCCATCTGCAGCCATTAGGAAAACTATTCACCAGCTGAAAGCTCGATGGCCAGAGCTGGAACGAGTCCACGGTTGAATACATAAAGAAGGTGCTGCTAATGTTTTGACAATTTGTGCTACCGCATCAGATTTTCCTACTGTAGAGCATCTAGATAGCTGTATGTGTCGGTGCTAGCTTTTAAAACCGCAGAACAGTGCAGATGCCAAAGAGACAAATACATAAATCACTCAGAATTTTTCTTGGTGTTACAGATTCATGCAACGCCACTACACTTTCTATCACCCCAGATTTACTGGATGCGTCTTCGCTTTGCCCCGCTGCACACTTCACCAGCGGAGCCGTTCCAGACCACCCTGATTGTACTCCAGTGCATTTTTTCCTCTTCATGTTGTATTTTGTTGATTAAAGCAACTTTTCTCTATAAAATACAGTATATGTAAAGAGCCTATATGTATTTCTAAAGGAACAACGCACATCACATAATATGCCAGAGTTAGCCACAGAGGCTAGTTTTCATCTGTAGTCCCTTTGCATGAACGCGATACATCAAGTTGGAGCTCTGGGACAGGTGTGTGTTAAGACACAAAGAGCTTTTTCTGTTTTAACAAATTAAAATCTAGTAAATTTGAAAACCGTGTCGCTTAAACAGAATTGCTAAAACTTTTTCTCTTCTTATAGGCGGCAACCTTAGTTAAGCCCCTGAAAATAAACTCATACCGGTATGTAATTTCAGCAAAAACAGGTCACAGAATTACAAAACCACAATGCTGGAAGTACAGGTTGCGTCAGCATATTTCTGAAGATTATATCTGCCTAATCAGACGTTTCCTTACAGAGCACTAGCACAATTTTAACATGTCTTAATCTTGCCCAAACTAATGAGCTGAACAGGGAAGTACAAGTCTGAGTGCGTCGTGTGTGGTATTACAAACACACCAAGTCTTTTGCAGAATCATTTCTAATTCACCTCGCTACTCCCATGTCCTACCACAGTTGTGTAAAGGAAGCCAGAACATCATCTTCCGTTGTGTTGAGCAAGAGACTAGAGCACTTTCAACTATTTTAGATAAGGTTTTTCTGTTGTTATTCAGAAGCTCTCCTGTCTCCATCAGACTGGAAACTCTCCAAATAAGCAACGCGATACTGGTTTACACGTATCAAACAGGAGGAAATGTCCTACACGTTAGATCCTGATTCAAAGTGCCTGCAGCCTTCAAACAAGCCTAATATATTAACTTTACAAAACAGGCTTTAATTGCTCAGAAAGCGTGGGAGTTAATCTAACTTGGAAGCAAAAAGAAATAAGATTAAGACAGTCTCATGGTTCACGAAACCTTTTAAACAGACAACAAGTGAGTCCCTGTTCTACCTGAAGAGCAGACCTCCTTGGAAAAGGCCAGAGAGATGGCATTTAAATAGCAACACAGAATAAACTCTGGTGCCTTCTTTAAATTATTTTAAGCAACAGAAGTTACTTGAAACAACAGACTCAACAGTTTTGAATAAAGCACACATCTTCATGTTGAAAGTCAGAGCTGAGCTTAATGCATTTTATCTCTTTCAGTGGGAGCGATCCTTGTGGCTGTTTCTGCCAGCCAGAAAAGCTTTAATCATTTGTCAAGGATAAAGTGGAGGACCCACCCTGGGCAGCTCTCCACAGCAGTGGAGGAAGTGGGGATGGAGGAAGATCCAGATATGTAAATAAGTACTTCTGAGTAATTTACAGACTTACAAAGAAAGAAGGACCAAAATGAACCCAACAGTATCTTGAATCGGCAGATATGCATCTTTGTAAAAGTTGCTGCCACATTGCAGCACCATGTGAGGACTCAGCAGCAGCAACAGGTTGTGAGACGCGTTTCAAAGCGATTTCCACGCACAGTCACCATCATCCCCAATCAATTAACTTAAAGAAACAGAAAACCTAATTATCCGCAGCTGGTCCTCATGTGGCTCCAACTGAGGTCACCTGACCTTAGATACATAAAATATCCCCCCCTTTCCTCCCAACTTTGAACTGAACTCTGGACTAAAAGGTCAACTTTCCAACTTAAAAAGTCAGGAATCTACCTAATAATATGAGTGAGGAACTTTACCTCGTTTTGTTAATGTCGGTTATAGCTAACAGCTCCGAAACAGAGCAGGTGGAAAATGCCCCTCAAAGTTAGAAAAAGAAAACATGCCTTTTTAACGCTCCCACGAAGCAAACACCAAGCAGGGTAAAGTTTTAGGTTTTTCTTGCTAACTCCTGACAGATGCTATCCGCCAGCCTGACTCTGTCTAACGGCTGACATTTCCTGAAAGCGGGGTAACTCACCAGCCCCGGGGCGTAGTTGCTGCTCGCTGCCTCCTTCTCTGTAGAAAAAAAAGCGCTCTAAAATAACCCGAGACTACTTTAGATTGGTGTATTAACGTAGCGCTTTAGTTTGTCCGTCGCCTGTGGCCCACCGGTGTCCGTGGGAAGAGCCTCATTGACTCTGAGCACCACCTTAACTTTCCGAGCTGTGTGCCGTCAGCCCCCCGGTGAGAAACGGCTCCTCCCCGCGGAGCTCGCGCTGGCTAACCGACGACTTAACGGCCGTTAGCACACCGACAGCCGGCTCCACTGGAGGGATATGTCACCAAACCGAGGCGATAATCAAACCAGGATTGTCTGTTTATCCTGATTTCATCCGTCATTAATCCAGTTTCACAAAAGAAGCTCCCAGGGCCGGCCCAAACTTGTTCAGGGCCCTCGAGCAGAACTTGATTTGGGGCCCTTCAAGCTACAGTTTTCATCCTCTCTCAGGGAAAATGGCGAATGGCTAGAAGTCGCTAATGTTGCCTTAAAAAGGATTATTTTCACTCTGTAGGTAACTTTAATGGATACTGTAGAGGAGAAAAAATGCAACAAAACAAAAATAATAATAACAAGATGCTTAGGCACATAACTTTACTTGCAGCTGTAACTGTTTCTTTTAGAAATGTTCTCTTTTTTTTAAAGAATTTGTTGACTACTGTCATTTATTTGACAGTAGATAGATGGAAAAGTAGGGCATGAGAGAGGGGAGAAGACATTCAGCAAAGGTCAACAGATCGGGCGCCAACCCAGAGATTCTTTTTTTTAACAAATGCATACTTTATATAAAACTCCCAAGCTGATATCGGGTGAGTTATGTTAATTTTGGGGGGTTTTCCATGAATATAAACAATATTAAAGTATTCACAATAACTTCACAATTAGGAAATTGTGAAGTTATAGGCAGTTCCTTTGGCCACAGGACATATTAAATCTACCATGCATCAATTCATGTCCACTTGTTCATATACTGTGATTTGCATTAGTAAAAATTACTTTTCTATAGTCAACAAGGCACCAAAATTGGCTCCAACTCCAAATTTCTTGTTTTTTGCCACCTAAATGTTTCAGATCAAACAAATTTTAATTTCAGACAAAGCTAACCTGAGTAAATACAAAAAACATTTTTCAAAGGAGACTGTGCCTAATCTGCTTAAACGTGAAAGCTTTAACTCATAAATTAACGGAATCACCTGAATAGAACCCGTGCAACATCAAAAAAACAAACACAGAAAAATGTAGGACATATAAGAAACAAAGAAATTAAACAAAAGTCTGTCAGCTGGACAATATTCCACCAACATGCCAGCCAGTCCACTTCAAAATAAATAGAAACAAAGAAGATGCTTTTGATGTAGCCTAGTCAAAGTAGGCTCATGTCTGATTGCGATACAAAATGTTTTCTCAATTTTATTGCATCAATAATTTTATATATAACATTCACCAAATGTTTACAAGATAATTTAGTGTTTTTGGAATACTTTGTCATTTTTGTCAGACCTCTTATCTGCATTTTTTACAGTCGTTTATTTATCTCAAAGCTTTAAGTGAAAGTTTGGAATAGAAAAACAAAAAACACTGGAGGGTATTGTAAACATTGAGAAAAATACTGCCAGTCATGATTCACTCAACATGAGAAAACATTTTTATTTTTTAGTTCACAAATCACTTGACACCATTTGCATTTACAAACGATTTCTTACAAATAATTGTAAGGCAGGAGGGTGTTTAAAACTGAAGAGTCACAGCATTTTAAATCATGTTAAAGTGATGTCAGAGAATAAAATATTTTATCTTATCATTACGCAGGGTAACCCATAATAGCAGAAAATTATCCACACTGGTTTGAGTTTTGTTTTGCTTCCAGTCCTGCATCACCGGTTGTAATTGTTCATTCTATGAAGTGTTTCCTGGGAGTGGTGATCTGCTCAGTCCGTGTCATTTCCTTTTTTTGGCACATCCTGGTTTTGGTGTTCAAGGCCCTTTGGTTGAGACTCAAAATAAGGTCTGTAGATGTAGAATCCACCAGCGACCCCAAGCACTGCGGCTAAGAGCAGCTGTGAGAACGGCATCCTTTGTCGAAACATTACTCTTGTTTGATAAGAAATCCAGGTCTACAGACCCCAACCCATCCTGAAAAAGATGACAAACAGGTGAATTATGGGAATGGCTGAGCAATTTCTGTACTGTGTTGAAGTTTACCAGCATAGCTTTTAAGGCATTCTATCCTCAAAGGTTGTGGAAGTTATCTGTTAATGCAATTTTTAAAAAAAATCAAGGTCAACATCTGGTTGTATACATCAGTATAACCACAGTACAGATTTTTTACTTTCATAAATGATACCAAAATAAAAAAGTAGTGTGTACAAAACTCATCACATTCTCACAGTTTCCACATGTGAGATAGAAAGTTGGGTGCAGCTAATTAAATGCATTTTATAATCTGATCATCATCAGTGTATGCAGACACAATGCCAAAACAAAAAGATATAAACAATAATATGTAAAAGAATAAAGACTAAACTGTTGCCCCACATCAAGCTGGGATGTAATCTGAAAATATAGCTTAAAATCTGTCATTCTAAAGCAAGAATAGTTATTCTGCCAATCTTCCTAGGAGTGGGTGGCTTGGTGAATTCAGTCAAGGGTTGTAATTCAGAAATTGTATTAAAATCTTCAGTATAACTTTTTTACAGGCCTAAGTTAGTATGTTTAATTTTGGCAGGAAGACTGGGAAAATACTAAATAAGTATGGTTTATTTAAATAGGGTTGTGAGAAAAAAATCCATCTTAATAAGACACATACCAACTGTCAAACACGAGGTGGAGGAAGCCCAACTTTTATACACATATTTTACTTATTATTTTCAAGTAATTGAGAATAAATACACAAAACGTAAGACTCTGAACGGTGTAAAGCTTATTTGTAGTATAAAACCTACAGATAAAGGATAATTAATTCTCATAAAAGATAATTCACCAGTATTCAACAAAATCCACCAGCAGCCCCGAAATGGCATCTTATTTTGAAAAGTCCCGACCGGATAATGAGAGTGTGTGACACCACCTTGACAATATGCCAACCTTTTCACTGAACAGTGATCAAACATGACATTTTTAACTAATGGAGAGACAATTATCTGCAACATTCATCACTCACCAATGAAGCGCTTTATCTAAAGTGTCTGTAGCCACAAGACAGAAAAAGGGAACAGGCAAATAAAAGGGAGCAAAGGCGTTAAGAGAGAAAAAAACACACAGGACACTTATGTACGGACGGATGGCATTCTTCTTCGTCTGTTCTGACGAGTCTAGAAGACCCACAGCGCCACCAAGCGAATGACAGGAATTAAAAAGTAGGTCAAAAGAGCAATGACATAAGCCATGTTTTTCAATTAAAAAATATTTTTTAAAATAAAATTAGCCACATTAAGTTTTACTAAGATAGGCAACATCTATTAAAAGTTGCATGGTAAAAGTAGCTTTTTCTTTCTTTCTTTTTTCAGCAAAAACAAGATTTCGTTTGACATGATTGTTTATATTTGGAATACTTGTTTTAATTAATAATTACAGATTATTCTTTGGTTCTACGTCATAATTCAATAGGTTAAAATGACCAAAAATTATATTCTGTAATTTCAAGATATATTTATTGTAATTATAGTATTTTACTAGCTGGACAAGTAGAAAGAAAACAATAGTAAACCAATTTCCTTAACATGAAAAAACTAAGCAGACTGGAAAAACAAGAACCTTTACTTTGAAGTTGCGACACAACCAAAACACCGGAAATAAGCGTGAGTGCGGAAGTATTGATGACCCCGTGTAACGTGTCCAAACTAGGAAGTTAAAGCAGATTAAAATGGTTTTCGTATAAGTCAAATAAGCAGGGACATTTACGGAGTTGGCAGCTGCAACCTCGGGTTAAATTTGTTTATTTTTGCAGTGCGGACCTTTCTCTGTGTTAGATTCTCCGGAGTGTCGGCCGGGTCGTGCTCCGACAGGTGAGCCATGCAACCCAGCCGCACGTAAGGATGGAAAACCTGCGCTCTAGGCTGAAGCTGGGGAGCAAAGCAAAGGACGTGAAGCTGAGGAAACGGAGGTCCCTGCTTTACTCCAAGGAGGATGGGAGACTTTTAAACCACGGTGCTGTGACTGACGCACCTCCAATCTGCTGATGCTGCTGTTGAGTGCAGTCTGGAAATTCCTGTTCCCACTCAGATGCAGTGATTTATCTCCACAGGTTTACTGAAGGTGGTTCTCTTCACTGTGGTGTTCAGGCTGGTTAACTGTGTCCTGGTCCAGACCAGCTTTGTCCCTGATGAGTACTGGCAGTCCCTGGAGGTGGCCCATCGGATGGTCTTTAAATATCCTTTGGCAATGTCCATAATTATTTAAATATAACATTTTAATGGCATGAATCAACTGATTTTCAAGTAACACAATAACAAATTTAGCTGGATGATAAATAATATTGTTGATTCAAAAATGGTAATGACAGAATAACACATTCTCAAAGATCAATAAACTTTAAAATATAATCACACGTTGTAGCATGCAGACGTTTTGCACGAACAGCAGCAGCGGCGTAACTTTTGTTTTTGCATGGTTCTCTGGTTTTATTGTGGGATATTTTCTTTTATAATCAAACATATGGGTATCTAACCTGGGAGTGGAAAGCAGGAATCAGAGGATTCTCATTCCCATTGTTCTTTGCATTCCTGTACAAAATACTACACCTTCTAAACTACGACACAGTCCATCTCCTGGTGAGTAGGTCTATTTTATTCTCGGAACAACACTATTTTTTGACTACATGAATCATGGAGTTCATGTGGGTTTGCTGTGGTTGCAGATTTGGCTTCCTCGAGTGGTTCAAGCTCTCCTGGCTGCCTTGGCTGACGTGAAACTCTACCTGCTCATCCGAACACTGGAAACTCAGGACGTCTCAAGATGGACGGTAGGAGAACCTCGTTGTTGTCATGCTCCTCTCTCAAGGACACATTCCTGTCCGAATACAACAAACATCTGGAACCTGGTCAATGAATTGAAGCTAGAACAGCTTGTTCATTTATAGGTTCTTCTCGGATCACTCTGCAGTTTCACAAGGGTTTGACAGTGTCTTGAACTGTTTGCAGTAGTTTACAGATGTCTTTAAGTGTGGAAAAAGTTCAGAATTTCAGGCTCTTTTTCACTTCATGAAGGACAAAATCTAACCATGAACAATAAATGCAGGTGTTTTAACACTAATTTATGTTTTACATTGCCAAATCATATTTGTTCACAAATCAATAAAGCACTGTGTCACTAGGGCTTTTTTCACTTTTGAAATTTAAAATTAAGGTTGAATGTGGGTCTGAAATTGGGTCCGGTTAAAAAGACACTGAAGTTTACAAACTGTGGTTTGAACCATGCACACCCAGTCCTGATATGGTGAGTCCCAAGGTTATAGTTCTAGAGCTGATCTGAACTCATCCAGGTGCCAGAAAAGCAATGGAAGATCTTGAGCCGTTTTCAGTCATTTGACATCATCTTAACTCAAACGCAACGACGTTACAACAAGCGGGGGTGTAAACATTTCGACTGCATCTGGAGAAATGTGGAGTTGTGAAATGAACCTGTCCTGGTTTGCAGTTCTTTTGCCAGCTGTGCTCCTGGTTCTCCTGGTTCTGCTGCACCAGGACTCTGACGAACACCGCTGAGACCACCCTCACCTGTTTGGCTCTGTTCCACTTCCCTCTGCCGGGGTCCAAAACTTACAGCAGGTGAATGCGCGTTGGCACATTTAAGTTCACATTTTGCATGCTTTAGTTCGTCATTTTGGGTTTCCGCCGGTGCTAACAACAGCCAAATGCTCTAAAAAACAACAACAAGAAAACAAAACATTGAACTGTACAAAAAAAAAAAAAAAAAAAAACACCCCACCAAGCTGTATTTTTGGGTAATAAATGAATGAGTTTGTGTCTGGAAAATGAGCCGTTAATAAAGGTTAAGTCAAATTACACGTTTACTCAGCTGGTTTTACCGCTGTGTGGATGTTGGAAAAGAGAACAGTTTCGTTGTTTACTTACACCCAGAAAAGACGTATAATGTTAAAAACAATGGCTGTACATTTGCGCATCGGTGTGCAGCCATTTTGACGTAAACGTTGCGTTTTGGGGGCGTGGCCAGCAGAGGGTCGTTTGGATTTAAAGTGACAAGATGCCCTAAAATGTCTTATTGAAAGGAGCTAAGGCAGACCTGAAATCTCATGAGCTAAGATTAATTTTGTGCAAAAAATTATTATTATGAAAATGTTTTCTATAGCTCAGACCTATCCTCATCCATTCAACAAAGGTCACCTTAACGTGTCTTTATTCCTCACTGGTTTTGTTATTTTCCAGTAAAAAGTACTTGTCTCTGGTGGCCTTGGCTGTGCTTGTGCGTCCGACGGCCCTGGTTGTCTGGTTTCCTCTGCTGATGTTCCATTTCTGGCAGGAGGAGAACAAACTGAGACTCATCACTCGTTGCTACGTTCCTATAGGGTGTGTCTCTCGGCCTCATGAACGCGTAGCCAGGTCTCACCTCCTGTCCTCACTGCTTCATATTCTCTCATTTCCAGGATTTTGGCAGTTCTGATTTCAGCGCTGATCGACTGTCTGTTCTACGAAAAGGTAAAACAGAGCCAGTAGCTTATATGTCTAAGGTCTGGTGGTAACAGCTGGTCTCTGGTCCAGTGGACTTTGGTGCAGCTCAACTTCATAAAGTTCAACATCCTGCACGGTGTGGCAGATTTCTACGGCTCCCATCCCTGGCATTGGTACTTCAGCCAGGGCTTCGCCGTCGTCATCGGCCCCCATCTTCCTTTCTTTCTACATGGATGCAGCCTCGGCTTCAGGAAATACAGAATCCTGCTGGCCACAGTTCTGTGGACTGTTGTTGTTTACAGGTAATCTGAATGGGAGAGTAGAAAAACATGATTGTGGGGTTTGCAGAATTAATGCCTGAGTATTTTGTCTCCTCAGTTTCCTTCCTCACAAAGAGTTCAGGTTCATCTACCCTGTACTGCCATTCTGCATGATCTTCTGCGGTTGGTTCCCACTTTTAATTAAACCCAGAGTGTTGGGATATATTCATAACAGAGATGTGTTTTATCACAGGAATATCTTTGGCTCATCTCAAAGCGTGGCGGCGACCAGCTGCAGCCTTCCTCTTGGTGTCCAACCTGGTTCTGGCTCTGTATACGGGTCTGATACACCAGCGAGGCACTCTGGATCTCATGAGCCACCTTCAGAGGCTTTGTGAGGTCGGCAGCGACTCCGCCCGCCCGCAGTCCGATGTCTTCTTCCTCATGCCCTGTCACTCAACACCCCTCTACAGGTACACACACCAAAACACTTCCAGCCCATCACAACTTTATAAGACTGTTGTCTGAACTGCAGCAGAGGTTAAATAAGAACATACAACCTCCAAGAACATGGAGGGTGTAATGTTGACACTTTTAAAATAGAGAGAAATATTTCTAAAATAAATCTATTTTTATATATATAGATTAACTCAAATTTAAATAAGGTGGAAGTTTCTGAAGTTTAGCATCTAATTTTTCCCCATAACCATAATTAACTTGCTTGAATGTTTTAAAAATGCACATACAAAAACTAATGACCACTTAAAATGATTTGTTTCTCTGACTTTACTCCCTAAAGGTAAATGTTTGAGTGAAATTAACATTGTTATTCTATGAACTACTGACATGTCTCTGAAAATCCAAGCTCAAATTTTGCATTTTTTTGTAGAAAATGAGAAATTGTCAAAATGACAAAAGATGCAAAGAAAACACATTTATATTCATTCATTAACAATACCAATGTTTTAACTTAGGAAGAGTTCAGAAATCAATATCTGCTGGAACAACCAGGAGGTTTCAATGGGCTTTAGAGCAGTGGGATCTTAATTTTTTACAAATTATATTCATAATTTTTTTGTATTTTGTATCAAATGTGTCAAACTTTCTTGCAAATTTAGTGATATTTTAACAGTTTTTTATCCTCACACTTAAAAAAACTAACAAAACAAAAAACAAAACAAAAAATGGCTCCAAAGCTCCACAGATGAACGAAGGTTTAATATAGTAAATAAATACCTTAGCAGAAAATACTTTTTAGATTTTTTTTTTTTAGCAGTTAACATTTAATGAAATCCCAGAAAACAGCAAAAAGTGTTTTAGCACTAACAAGGGGATTAAAATGGTTATTTTTTATTTAGACATAAGAGCAGAAAAAAGACATGAGAAAAGCCCCATAAGTCGTGACGAACCACTACAAGAAGGTCTTGCTGCAGAGAAGACTCAGCTGGTTAAAACCTTTGCTATTTACACATGGCAGCTGACAGTCGTCTGTCTCCTCGTAGCCACGTCCACTGTCCTCTGAAGATGAGGATCCTGGAGTGTCCTCCAGACCTCGGCGAGGACGGCTACGCTGAAGAAGCTGCACAGTTTTACAGCAATCCTCTCATCTGGCTCTGGACTGCCTTTCCATACAAATCCTCCCTGCCGACACATCTGGTTCTGTTTGACGTTTTGGAAAAGGTAAGGCCTCTAATAGAGACTCTTTGTGCAAATATCTGATGTTTATATTAAACAAGTTTTGTTTTTTAACTGAAGGAAATTTCCACGTTCCTGCAAGCGAATAACTTCACGAGGACAGCAGAGATATTTCACACTCACGTTCCCGAGGGAAGAGTTGGAGGAAGCATCTTTATTTATGAAAGGCACTGAAAAAAAAAAAACCCTAGCAGAAACACCAAGGAAAATGTAACAATTTATTACTGTAATAAATATTTTAAACTCCAATGTTTCTGTTTTAAAATCTCATTCCCAACCACAGTGAATTAATTGTTGTTTTCCAGTCTTTTCTCAGAGAAGCACTTAAAGCAGAAATAAAACAAGCGGGTCCAGTTAAAACGAGGCTGAGGTGGAATGTAAGAAAAGAGCGTCTGAACTCTGACAGCTGATCTTAACCAAAACACCAACTACAAACTGAAGACTTCTAGGACTGAGTTTGGCCTGCTATATGATTATAAGTTATGTTAAATTTTCCTTTTACATGGTACTTTGTTTTATTTTTTGTCAAGTACGTATGTTAATTTAGCAGAACTCATAAGGAAAGTGAAACCTTTACATTGTTAAACACAGAACAGCTCTGGGACATTCAGCAGCTCGACAAGGATTGTGCGACGAGGATTGTGCAAACTTACAACAACAACAAAAAAATAGAGAATGTGCGTCAAAAATAAAACTCACAATTTAAGGGGAACCCTTATTAATTATTTTCAGTATTTGGGCTCAAAGGGCATTGGGCCCAGTTCGATTTTAACATCAGCCATGTGCCTGTCTGCGTTTCTTCCTGATCGGCTCCACCTGCGACCGCAGTGAGGACGAGATTTACCCCTCGGCTGCTTCCTCTGCTGGTGCCTCGCCCTCCACTCTTCCTTTGGGTCTTCAGGTCTCTGAAACGGCCCCCTGTGGAGAAGAAACAAAAAAAAAAATCACCACCAGGAGACACAAGTAAAAGTATTATGAGCAGGATTATGCTCCATAGGGGATGCAAAAGATGCAGAAATTCAGTGGAAGGTAAAACAGGTAAGGTGCTGGTATGTATATTTTGTCAAATTACCACAAACTTTAACTTGTTTTGTAGGAATTTCATATGACAAGGCCACAAAAAGTAGTAGAAAATTGAGGTGAAAGGAAATTTCACATAAATTCAAATCTGAAGAGTGGTGTGCAAATCCCACTACTCTCCCTAACACTCAATAAAATCACCTTCAGCCACCATCTAAATAAAAAATTATTTAATCTTCTAATGTTCTATGAAAGCCTCAGAGGTCTGTTTCAGAACAAACAGCAAAATGAAGACAAAAATAAAAAACATGGCCCTCCATCTAAACCAGACGTGACCAAAGTACAAACTTCAAGAAGGACCCAAAGGTGGCCGCGCTTCAAAACAGGAAATGGTTACAAGATAAACACAAAGTTTGTCTTTTAACAACCAAACTTTTTGCATTTTCTTTAGTTTCATAGGAACCATCTCATCTATTCAGTGACTTTTTACTCAACTTCTGATGAACACAGCTAAGTCATCTAAAACCTGATCATTTGTTTATTTTTTTAACTTGCCTTTGAGTTTCTATATTTTCTTTAATTAATTTTGTTCTTTCTTTTATGCACAACGTCAATGAAAAGACTTCTTATTCTGATTCGGCGAAGCAAAACCAACGCCTTCAACTAACTCACTCGCTCTCTGGTTACCTAGCAACTCACTCGCTCTCTGGTTACCTAGCAACTCACTCGCTCTCTGGTTACCTAGCAACTCACTCGCTTTCTGGTTACCTAGCAACAACCTGTTGAGTAACACACATTGCAGCAGTTTAATTTCCTTTTCCACTATGTCTCATAACTGCTTAAAAAATTCACCTGCAAGGAGAGAAAACTGGATGAAACAAGAAAGATCATCTGATCAGTTTTGCAGTATTTTAGGTATTTAAAACAAAAATCAATAATTATTAATACAAACTGATATGAAACTCTTATCCCATGACACATATTTTAGCCACATTCTCCTGCTCTAATTAGATGGAGGCGGAAGACATAACTGTCTTGTGCCGTTTAATGTTTTCTTTCCTGGAATCAGATTTTATTCCTTACATTATTTTGAGTTAGAGTCTCATTGCAGGAATTCCTCAGATGTTGCATGCCTGTAAAACAAACCGGTCTTAGCTTTGAGCGCAGCATCATTTAGGAGGTAATTCAGGGAACCTACCGTGGACCGTAACTCCTGGCGTCGCCTTCCCCGAAGAAGTGCCTGTAGATGTAGTCGTCGAGGTCTCCGAACACCTCGCCGTCCAGGCCGTGGTATTCGTGCATGTCGCTCAGGTAGCTCTCCACTCTGCCTACGAAGTCTGTGAAGAGCATGCGGTCGTGGATGAAGAGTCCGTTGTGAAAGAAGCCGTTGATGAACGTCCTGAGTTCGTTCCAGTGGTAGAAGTGGTCGACCTGCTGCAGGTAGCTCTGCAGCAGGAGGTCGAACTCTTCGGCTCTGATTGGCTCGGTGGCTTTGTTGAAGAGGCTCATGGACTCCAGGTAGGCGCAGTCGAAGACGCCGGTGCATCCCTTCATGCTGCTCTTGTTGCTGCTCTCATCCTCGTCCTGCAGAACCTTCCCGGCTGATTTCCGTGTGTTGTGGTGGTTCTGGAAGGAGTCGGGTGTGCGTCTGGGTTTCTTCGCTCTGTGCTGCCAGGACTCCTCTGTGTTTGCTTTGTCACATTTCTTGCTGTAAAATCCCTGGGCTTTGTTGATGAACGTCGAGGCTGAATCTTTAAAGTGTCTGAAAGTTGATTTGACGGAGTCAGAGAATTTCCTCAAGTTTTCCTTCACAGCCTCCTTGGCTTTCTTAATCTGCTCCTTATGGTGGTGGACGAACTCCTTGGTGGAGTTTTTCACAGCATCTAACGTCTCCTTCATTTTGCCGGCCACTCCCTGTTCAGCTCTCCTCACTTTGGATTCTCGGTCTCCTTTGACCTTCTCCTCCTTGGTTTCAACGTACAGCCTTTCCCACAGGTCGGAGCGCTGCTGCTCGAAACTCAGCCTCTTCTCCAGATCCAGAAGACGTTTCTCCAAACCTCCTGCTTCTGAACCACTCTGCCCCTCAGATTCAGAGACGTGACTCCTCAGAGCGGCCAGCTCCCTCCTCAGTTCCTCCGTGACCTTCCTCTCTGTCTCCAGCTTCTTCCTCAGCATGTGAGCTTCAGCCGCCATGTCTTCCCTCTGAAGGTGGAAGTTTCTGATGGTCTGCTGCTTCTCCTCCAGCTGCTCTTTCAGCCTCTGGTTTTCAGACAGCAGAGAATCGGCTCCTGCTCCCCTCGCCTCCAGATCTCTGATTTGGGAGCGCAGGTTTCTCAACTCGTCCTGCAGGACAGACAGAGACTTTTCCTCGCGTGCCATGGAGTTTCTCAGCTGGATGTTTTCATCCGAGAGACTCTGCTGCAGAGACATGATTTCAATCCTCTCCTCCTCGGTCTGTTTCAGCATCTGCTCCAGGTTATCTCTCTGAACCTTGATGAGAAAAGACACAGACTTACAGCTTGTCTAACATTTAATGCTCCATTATGTAACTTGCATAAAGAATTTCATTTTTCTTACATATTTGTGAATCTATCACTATCTTCTGACAGAGATAATCTGTGAAAAAAAATTCTGCTTCCTCTGCCATCTCTTAATGCTAACTAAGAACAACCAATCAGAGACAGGAGGCGGGTCTTAGCACTGTCAATCACTCTGCTCTCTGCTATGCTCCAGCTAGCACAGCCCGTCATGAATGCTCAGGCGAGTTAGCATAGCCCCCTATGACAGTGAATAAACTGGTTTCCTGTAACAGAGTTGTTTCTCCCTCATTAGCACATTTAGCAATGAGTACATGAGGTTGATTGACAGCGATCAGACACGCCTCCTGCCTCTGATTGGCTGTTTTTGGTTGGAAGCGGTGGAGGAGATTGATTTTTTCACAGATTATCCGTCTCATACTGTTGCAGCATGGTGACATTTTTAACAAATATGAATAAAAACATTTTTTTAAATAAAAGTTAATTGCACCTTTAAAGTTTGGGTTACATGTCTGAACTGGGACAACTGGATTTTTACCTGGATGTGAACTTGTTTTGCCTTGAGCTCCTGGTTTTCTTTCTTTGCTTTTTCAATCACTCCCAAGAGAAAATTAATAACCTGCTGCTCATCAAGGTCATCTGGCACAAAGTCGATCCTCTGGGAGAAATAAAAGTTGTTTTTTCAGTTCATACAATCAAAGCAGTATATTTAAAATATCCTGTTTTTAATTTGGACTTTATTCTCCCCACTGCTTACAGGACCTCTATCAACAATGAATTTGTGTCAAATCTGGAAATTGTAGTGTGAAGGCGACAGCAGCACAGTGCTCCAAGCTGTTTCCACGATGCTTTCAAAGGGGATTTATTATTCAAAACTCTTGTTTTGGATGTTTTCTTTCTTCCATTTGGGCCTCAACTGATTCTAAAATTGCTCACACGATATTTTCTGGTACCAAGTTTACATTTTTTTGGCATGTGGGAAACAAGACGTTTCACAAACCTCCCAAATGTCCCAAGTCACAATTGACAGACACTGCGCTGTTACCTAGCAACCCCAGCTGAGCCTGGGCCCCGTTACCTAGCAACCCAAATGGTACTCGATCATGTTTGGTTTTACTGATGTTTGCGCTGAACAGCTTCTGGAAAAGAAGTGTTTTGTTGTTGACAAACCATTCAGAAATGATGTTTGTATAATGTTCAAATAAAAATGACAAAAAAAAAAAACAATAAGTGACAAATCTAGAAACTTTTTTCTGTTTGTTGGAAGGTTTTAGTGAGCTGGTTTTATGCTGTGTGATGAAAAGCTGCACCGTTTTAAAGAATAAGAAAATTCAATTTCTTACAGATTGTTTAACCAAAGGGGCCAGCACTGACATGCTTTTAGGCAAAAATAATAAAGAACTAAACAAATTTACAAGAAAATATCCAAATTTGTACAGAAACATAAAGCTAGAACCCCAAATAACCTACCTAGACATTTTCTCATCATAAAAAACTTGATTTAAGGCATTAATAACACTCAAAGCTTCCTATTCTCTCAGCGGTGAGGTGTGTATTGATTAACCTGCTGTGTTAAACGTTCATCTCTGATACGTTGCTCAAGTAGAGCCCTCACATCCAGCTGTTCAATCCCTCTGGTTTTCTCCACAGTTTTTTGCCTTTCCTGAATCTGGACCTTGCCTGGAGGAGAGA